AGGCACAAGTACTCGTACTCGGCTCGTTACCGAGGTACTCGGTAGCACTCGGTACTCAGAAAAATGTACTCGACTACAACACTGCATGGGGGCGGTGCTTACGGGATCGGTCCATTGGACGACGAAGCCTGTTTAAAAGTAAATGAATTAGAAAGAGCATAATTTAAAAGTAGAATTAAAACATCAAATCCACCAACTAACCTTCAAACATTGGCCGGTTCTGTGTTTTTCATGCAAAACCAAGTGTCCTTTTTAAACGTCACAAGGAAGTTTGTGTGCTATGAAGAGCATGGTTTCCAAGAGCAGCACCCGTTGCCCAGTACTAGTGTCCGCTTTAACATTTTTTAAACGGCACCCCCCGGACGATGGTGCCCAGCCCCCAGCCCCCTCCCCCCTTGATTTAGGCCAAGCATACATGTATAGCCTTAAAAAAAATGTCCACATAAAAAAATTGCATGGATGCCCAGTGCCCTTTTGCATCTAAGTAACATGTTGGCCCTAGACTACAATGTAGTTTTAACACACGTCTTGCTGGTTCTTTATTCTGGTTGGCTGAAACACGGTCACTAGTATAGGCTCTAGTTGCGTCAGCGTGAACTAGACGCGCATCAAGACATCGCGCGCATGTAACTTTTGACTGGTTACTAGTACATGCCCTCGCAGCAAGTCAAACTAAAAAACTGAATCTAGGGACAACAGTAGAAGCGTTCCTTTAAATTGTTGAAGTGAAATCTCGATAAGTCAAACCTCCGAGAATGGACTCAAATTTTGAGTTAAGCACGGAAGCTACAACAGCGCCCTCTATTGCCGCACCACCTCAAATGTTTGTACCAAGGAGCACCAAGGATGGGAAAATCGCACCAAGGCAATGATAAAGGGCACCGAGGCAAACTATGGAGGACACCAATGTATAATGAGGACACAAAAAAGCAAAATAGTACCCACCTTGTCTGTACAATACAAGCTTGAGAAAAAAAAAGCAAAACAAAACAAAACAAAAAAACCGCGTCGCTGCATCAGTTCCAGAACTTCGGTCTGACCAGAGACCGTCTTTTTTTTTTTTGGCCCCAAGCATGCCAAGCATCCCATATTTTTCACCTACATGCATGACATGTATATAGCCTATTAAGACTTTCCAATGGTTCCTTTTGGTGACATTTGTCTCTTAATTTGCCACTGCTAATTTGCAACTGTCAAATTGTGTGCATTCCTGCCACTTCGATTGCCAAATAGAGATACATTTCATCTTAAGAAACATTGGGAAGTCCTCAATTTGGTTACAAAGTGGGATGCTTAGGTAAAGAACCCCCGTTGCATGCGGAGTATCAGACCGAAATATTTCCATAAAGAAATGCCATCATTTTACCAATTTTTTATGCTCACATTAATTTCTTTTTTGGGGGGGGGGGGATTAAAATGTAACTGGAAAATGAGAACTTTATATTCAGAATCAGGTGACATTTGGTCATTTGCTATACTTGGTTGCATAAAAAAATTGCTAACTCGTGATGTTCAGTTCAGGTACATGTAGCCCTATTCTATGGCCACGTAGTGGAGTAAACTCAGAGCTGTGCTGAAGGCCAAACAAATCATTTGTATGGCCTTAAAGGGAAAATACAACATTTGCAAACATAAAAAAATAACACTCCCAATCAATTTGAAATACCTTGCTGGACGGTTGGTGAATGCTAGTTTAAAGCATTCCTGTTAAATCATGGCACCTGGAACACAGTTATTTTCAAGAAAAGTGGTATTTTCGTATCAATTTCCAACAATGGTCAGCCGACCCGCGTTGAAAAAAACTCGCTTATTTCAAATGCTGGCCAAATTAACCATTTTAGTTTGTTGTTTGCGATCGATTACACACCTCTGAACAGGGAAAAGCCAGCTAGGCTAGTTCCCTGACCATACAATTCCCCAATGTCTATAAATTGCTCCGTTTCATTTTAAATGGAGTCAGGGAACCAGACAGAGAAAAATGATTGTTTTTCTTGGTTTCTAACACCTACAAACCCAAAAAACAAAAAAGTCAGTGTAACAACATTTGCTATACATTGCCAACCCCCAAAATCCATCCATTTCTGAAAATACAGCATAAGCAAATTTATGATGTATATGTATATTCCCTTCAAGCATGGGTTTACTCTAGTCTTGGTCCAAGACTGAACTTTGTTTTTAATGTTCGTTTATTATACAGGCAGTCCCTAGCTAGCTACCTGCCTATAGCGCACTTAACGCAGCTGAACGACATCAATGGTAAAGGGCATCTATATCGACGGGATGTCGTCTCGTTGATAGCGCCCTCTACCATTGATGTCGTTCGGCAGCATAGCGCACTCAGCAAAAAGCTGCAATGTAGCTGGGGACTGCCTGCACGTAAAGGAACATTATCCAAATCCAGTCTTGGACCAAGACTAAGTTTACTCCAGTGCGTGGCCATACAATAAGGCTACCTGCTACAATGTAGCAATTATTTGTTATGCAACCAAGTATGTCAAATGACCAAATGTCACTTGATTCTGAATTCTAAGCCCAGTTTACATTTTCATCCCCCCCCCCCTAAAAGTGAAGTTTGTTGAATTTGCCTAAATATGTTGAACCAACTGCTGATGATCGACAAAATGAAATTTAGCCTACCCTTCACATTCATAGTTGTAGATAGCCCCACTAGTGTGGCTCATGTATGTAGCTGCACTGTACATGTACATACCGCCACACAGCAATGGCAGCATGAATTCCTCCAGTCTGAGGAAGTGGTCACCCTTTGTGCACACGAAACTGTACTTGTACTCAATCATTAAAGTACTGGTACTCGAACAGCAGTACTCCGGGGGGGGGGGGGGGGGGGGGGGGGGGGGGGGGGGGGGGGGGGGGGGGGGGGGGGGGGGGGGGAATGTCTTCAATGACCATTGCCTTATTTTATCGATACTTTCAGTTTGAAATGGTTGATTGGCTTGTGGAGAAATCACGATTACCTGATTTTCCTCCGTGCAAGTCCGGACAAACACATTTAACAGCTAGCCGTGAGTGGGTCTGTATATCGGTCGACTGGGCCTGCAGGGCCATTGGACCGATCCAGTAAGCACCACCCCATGGTTTCTGACCAATCACAGCCGCGACTTAGTTCCGACATGCGTGCACCAAAGTCCGACATGCGTGCACGGCATGATGTGTTAATTTGCCCACATGCGCATTGGGAGGGGCTTACTGGATCGGTCCATTACGCACAAAGAACAACTTGCCGTACGGCCGTATTCGGTAATGCGAGTACCCGTACGCGGAGACCTGTTATATACTCGGAGGTACTAATACTCGTACTCGGCAAGTACTCGGCACTCGGAAAAAAGTACTCAAAAAAAAGTAGCGTGCAAAATGGCAATACTGTCTGGGCGAATCTGTTGTACTTGAAACAGCCGTAGCATCGCATGCAGCCCTAGCCCCATAAATGTGGCCTATTTACTGGACTGCCTCCGTAAACATAGGCCACACATCCACATGTACAAAAAAGTGTCGACTTTGCCAAATTTTGATTTTCACATTTAGGCTTACTTTGTAGGTTTTTTTTGTTTAGAAGCATTCTCACCCTCTATATAGGCTAATCAGAAAGTGCTGCCTTTTCAGATGTCTAATTTTTGTGAAATTTCATGTTGAAATTTTGATACGCAAACATGTGCAAATGTATCTGGAAAATTTCACGAAAAATGGACATCTGAAAAAGGCAGCACTTTCTGATTAGCCTATATAGAGGGTGAGAATGCTTCTAAAGCAAAAAAAACCTACAAACTAAGCCTAAATGTGAAAATCAAAATTTGGCAAAGTCGACACTTTTTTGTACATGTGGATGTGTGGCCAATGTTTACGGAGGCAGTCCAGTAAATAGGCCACATTTATGGGGCTAATGCAGCCCAAGCAACAAGATAGATTTGCATACACAACGTCACAGCTTTGGGGTCATCACTTTTAAATGGCTGCCATCAACAGACGTTGTAATTATACGTGTGCATACAGATGGAAAGTCTTCCATACACGTACCGGTACATGTACTCCCTTTTTCTTCAATCAATTTTCAAGTTCCAAAAAGCTTACTTTCCATGGTTCTTTCATCTATTTTCCCTCCTTGACTCTCACTCTCTACCCTCCTCTAATCCTCTTTGTTTACCAGTTAGCCTACTTACTCCATCCGAATTCGAACACGCAATCTTTTTATTTAATCACACCAGCAGTAAGTCGTCTTTTGGCCAGATGTAGCCCCATAAATGTGGCCTATTTACTGGACTGCCTCCGTAAACATAGGCCACACATCCACATGTACAAAAACGTGTCGCACTTTACCAAATTTTGATTTTCGCATTTAGGCTTAGTTTGTAGGTTTTTTTTGCTTGAGAAGCATACTCACCCTCTTTATAGGCTAATCAGAAAGTGCTTGCCTTTTTCAGATGTATATTTTTCGTGAAATTTCCAGATTCATTTTTACACGTTTGTGTATCAAAATTTCAACATGAAATTTCACAAAAATTAGACATCTGAAAAAGGCAGCACTTTCTGATTAGCCTATAAAGAGGGTGAGTATGCTTCTAAAGCAAAAAAATCCTACAACTAAGCCTAAATGCGAAAATCAAAATTTGGTAAAGTGCGACACGTTTTTGTACATGTGGATGTGTGGCCTATGTTTACGGAGGCAGTCCAGTAAATAGGCCACATTTATGGGGCTAAGCCAGATGTAGCTCTACTGAGTGGAGCGTTGAATTACGGGTACCCCTCCTGCATACAAACGCTCCACTGATTTTGGCATACTTTGGTGACGGCTTCACAGTAGCATAGTCACATACATGTACCCAAGCGAGGACAAAAAAAAACCCCAAAAAACGGTAAAAAGAATACAAATGTGAGACAGTTACCCTGGATTGATCTACACATTCATGACATTCCATCAGACCCCTTACATTGTTCCCAAACAGCGAAAATTTTGAAGAAAAACAGCAAAATAGTCTGAAACTTACACAAGTTAAGGCTCAATGTGTTAGCCGTGAAACTCAATCCTTGCACCGACTTGCTGAATGAGGGCGTCTGACGTGACGTCACCGCCGTTGCTCGATCAAAGAAAAACAAGTCGCGCTTTATCAACGACTGTTTCGTGTAATACGTGCTCCGATCCGCGCCGTACGACAGTATGGGCTTTGAACACACGCAAGGTGGAGACAGCTGAAACGTACTCTAAAACAAATTAATGACGAAAGATACCCACATGAAACTTGTATCAAAGAACTACCAATACTGACGAATGAAAATCCCATTATTACATTACATGTGAATGAATATGAGCATGTCAGCTGGAGTTACTCAAGCTAGCCGTACTACAGAGCTTGCGATAGTACTGTACGGCCAGATGCAGTCGGGCTAGTCATGTAGCCTACGTACTAGCCCCATAAATGTGCCTATTTACTGGACTGCCTCCGTAAACATAGGCCACACATCCACATGTACAAAAACGTGTCGACTTTGCCAAATTTTGATTTTCACATTTAGGCTTACTTTGTAGGATTGTTTTGCTTTAGAAGCATACTCACCCTCTTTATAGGCTAGTCAGAAAGTGCTGCCTTTTTCAGATGTCTAATTTTTGTGAAATTTCATGTTGAAATTTTGATACGCAAACGTGTAAAAATGATACTGGAAATGTCACGAAAAACATACATCTTAAAAAGGCAGCACTTTCTGATTAGCCTATAAAGAGGGTGAGTATGCTTCTAAAGCAAAAAAAACCTACAAACTAAGCCTAAATGTGAAAATCAAAATTTGGCAAAGTCGACACGACTTTTGTACATGTGGATGTGTGGCCTATGTTTACGGAGGCAGTCAAGTAAATAGGCCACATTTATGGGGCTACCTACGTACGTACACGTTCGCGTCGGACGTACACCATGTACACGTCGGTTACGTCGGTAAATTGTCTAAATTGAGGTCAATGGGATAGCCTAAACCATTATTTCCTATCAGAACAAAGTCAGAAATGAAGAATTTACATTCAGTCAAATAATAAGAGCTCGAGAATTATATTTTGAAACAGTTACCTGCGGTAAAATGTTGGCGACAACAGCGGGGGCGACAACGACGATGCATCTACTCGTACTCCGCGCCGAGGCCTTTCTTTTTGTTTGTAAACATTGGCGCCATTTTGTATGGGCTGCCGTAAGCGCATAAATTGAAGTCGTGGTTGGCAACATATTTTTCCAAAAAAAATCCTCATAACGCCATCAACACATGGTTAAAAGACATATGTGGAAATAATTTTGTAGCTTTGTTGAAAAAATGTTGTATTTTTAAGTATCAAATAATATTTTGGTAATCTTTAATAACTCTTCTTCATTTTTGCAGTGTTGGACCTTCCATAGTTTTGCAGGCCGTGGTTGGCAAAAATGCAGTTTGCCAACAAGCGCAGAAAGGTCAATACTAAGGGAATAAATGTGTGCTCCGGAGGTTTTTATCACTCTGTTTAATACCACTTAGAGTCTGGGTGCTGATAATTACCCGAGCCGGAGGCGAGGGTAATTATCAGCACCCAGACTCTAAGTGGTATTAAACAGAGTGATAAATACCGACGGAGTACATATTTATTCCCATTCATAAATACCTTTTCGGTAAAAAAAATCATATAATTCGTGCAAAACATCCGATTTTGTTCAACAAATTCACTTTATGCTTTTTGAATCATCCCTCCTGTAAAATAATGGAGTGTTCAGCTGGCGAGTAAGATGAAAACAACCCTTTTATGGAGATTGACGCGCGCGTATCATGTTCTATGCGATGTCGCGCAGAACGCACCTGGCGCGTTGCGTTTTGAATTTAGAACTATAAAATTCTAACTCCCTGGTAGTGTTGCGCATGCCTACGTGAGGATTGTGAACGTTCAACCAATTAAACGATAAGAGGCACTGGATTTTTAGGAGTCCACATTTTATTGTGACACTGGAAAAGTGTTTAAGACCAGCTAGCCATGTCTTTATCATCCGTTTAATACCGGCCACGTGACGGGCTCTCGACCAATAGGAATGGCTAAACTGTCTGAGGTATTTATGAATGAATGATAAAACAGCCAGGGTGACCGTAAGGTCATGGCAAAATTCTGCTAAATTCACTTCAAAAATCTGTCAGATTTATCAAAAATCTGTCAAATTCCCCAGAATTACTCGAAATACACTATAAGCACTTAAAATCACATGCAGACTTGTAGTATTGCCTTATTTAAGGTTCAAATTGCATTATAAACAATCTATAGTCACTTAAAGATTTAATGAAATTGCGAAAAAATTTCAGGCAAAAACGCGGTTGCATCACAACAAAGTCTGGTTCCTAGCATGGAGCTATAAAAAGGAAGGGGTTTTTGATAACTTCATGTTCCTAGTAAACCTCAGCACCTAGACCGGCCAACCTGTTCAAGGGTTAGTTTGAAATAGATGAAAAATGTTTTCATGCAAACTTACCTTTTTTAAAATTTGCTATTTTTTTCTGTCTAATAACCATTTTTGCAGAATTCTGACAGAAACCTGCCGCCAAAAAATCCCTTCTGTCAAACTCGTTTTTTTTTTACCAAAAAATGTCAAAGTTAGCCGAAAATCGGCTAAAACGGTCACCTTAAAAACAGCGCCCTCTTCTTGCAGGCTCCAGCAGGTTTGTTAGCCACTTCTTTGGTTGTGTTCAAAGTCTGTGGAAATTTGAGTGCATTTTTAGGGTATTTTCTAACAAAATTTGAAAAAAGTGACATGGGCGTCGCCAGGAGGGGGCAAAGGGGGGCGCTTGTCTCCCTCTGATGAAGCAAAAGAAAAAAAAAAACAAGAGAAACGAAAACAAAAAGAGGCGCGAAGTCATATTGCTGTTAATTTAATGCACAATTAACAACGTGGGCGTCCGAAGGGGTGTCGTGGGGGTGGGGTGGGCAAATGTCCCCTCCCCCAACCTGAAAAAAATGATAAATTGAGAATATGCTAGTAAAAAAAGTAAGGATTTGGAGAAATAATGTGCTTTGCCCCCCTCTAGAAAAAAAATTCTGGCGACGCCCAAGGGCGGATCCAGAACACAATTTGGGGGGGGGCCAAAAAAAATGTTGGTTCCCCCAAAAAAGTGGGTCAAAAAAATTACGGCGTGGGTTTCGGGGCCCGCTTAAGGGCCCCGAAAAAAATGTTGGATTCTAGATGCTCTGTGGACTGATCTGAGGCGATTTCTGACCACTTTAACCAATGTTTTTTTTTTGAGGAAAAGATGGTGGTGTACTCATTGCCTGCCTTTATTGCGATGTCAAAAAGTGGGTCCAAAAAATTACGGCGTGGGGTTCGGGGCCCGCTTAAGGGCCCCGAATTTTTTGGATTCTAGATGCTCTGTGGTGCGATCTGAGGCAATTTCTGACCACTTTAACCCTAAAGGGCCGGGGGGGCGGAATCCGCCCCCCCCCCCTCAACATTTTCCGCGATAGCTTCTAAAAAAAAAAATTTCGCGACCCGAGCTATTATGACTTTTTAGCCTCGAGCTTTGCGCATCTTTTGATACCAAAAACATAAAAATCGGACCACGGGTTTGCACGTAGCGAAAAATTTTCCGGCGCTACGCGCCGTGAAAACTGAATTTTCGCATATACGTCGTGTACACCGAGCAGAATTGGCATTCATACATATCAATAATTAATTAGCCATAATTCCAAAACCCTTTGACCTATAGTCATGAAATTTCTTGGGCATGTTGAGGAAGAGTTGTTCTATGCATGAAGTGAGTTTCAAAAATTTTCGTCACTCGATGGCCGAGATCTTAGGGGGGGGGGGCGGAATCCGCCCCCCCCCCCCCCCCCCCCCCCCCCCCCCGGCTGAGAGATAGTCAAAATAACCCGGCCCCTTTAGGGTTAACCAATGGTTTTTTTTTTTAGGAAAAGATGGTAGTGTACTCATTGCCTGCCGTTATTGCGATGTCACATAAAAAAAAAAAAAAAAAATGATTTCGTTTTTTTTTTTTTTTGGGGGGGGGGCATGGCCCCCTTTGCCCCCCCCCCCTGGATCCGCCCTTGGCGACGCCCATGGGAGGTGATGATCTTGCAACTAATTACCTGCTGTGCGGGCAAGTCGCCGACGCAACTTTGCTTAAAATTGTATTCCAAAGGAGTCACCTTCAGGGGGAGCACTGAGGCAGGATCAAGCTGGAGGTGATAGAATTACCAGCTTAAAATGGACCAAAGCCAGAAAAGAAAAGACCAAAGGTAGTGGAACAATGTTAAGTCTGTCGCGGAAATGGGCACTGCATGCAGTTTAAAGAGAAGCAGCTGACAACAACGATTAGGTCCATCAGGAGGGCTGAGGAAGATTGAGACGAAAGGCGGCAGTGGAAATCCTTATCCACAGACTCACCATCAGGCAAGACCTATTGGCTCCAGTGGCAGCAGCTGAAAATTCAACAGGGAATTATGTGCCGGCATTTTGAATCAAAATGACGGGAGACAATGTACAGTGTGTCCAGAAAAGTGTCCGTCTGACTGTCTTTAAATTAACTACAAAACCATGAGGTCAATTTTGAAATTGTTTGGTTGTGCAGATACTCGTACTCCTATTGGCCTCGACCCCTATGAGTTTCATTTAATTTCAGTCACGCATCACTGCACAGTTGTCAATTGAGCACAACAACATTTTTGGACACTGTGACCAAGTTCCATTGCCTTTATCAATTTCAGTGCTGTGTTATGTAAAATGTGTAAAATCCTGCATGTGGAGAAAAAAGGCTGATGTGGTTTGAGATTGGAACAAATTGCCCTTGAGCATTATATTAATAGCCAGGCAAAGGTTCCAATCCCAACTGCAGCCCTTTTCACAACATGAGCGATTTTATTACACAGCTTACTTAACATTATAGTACTGAAATTGAATAAGGCACTGAATGTGGTCACATTGTCCAAAAATGTTATCTCCCCCCCCTCCCCCCCCCTCCCCTGCGATGCGCTGTCAGGTCCGATGTCGGGATTTGGTCATGTTTTTCATACCCCAGGGTGGGGATTTGGGTCATTCAAATTACATTGTTTACATTGGCGTACTACATGGAAAGGCAATCACTAGTGCGCCCCACGTATGTATGTCGGGGCATGGTCGGGGATTTCACTTACATTTTGCCCGAGGGGTGGGGATTTGGTCACTTCAAAAGTGACGATCCCCACGTCTTGGGTGGGGCATAACTGCTCCACGGATTGTCGTCATTCAATACTGGTGAAAGAGTGAAACGTTCAATTTAAGAGGAATGGTTGTCTGACGATGACCGTCTGATGATGACCATCGTGACAATGGAGATGTACATAATTATTGGTGATTTTGATGGTGGTTGTGACATTTATTTAGGGGAGACCTGGACTGGTTCCCGGTTCATCCACCGTGTATTTCGAATGATCCAATGTTAATGGGGGCGGGGATTTGTCTGGGAGACCGTCGCTGTGGCTAATAGCTACTGGTCTCTTGGCAAATTCAGGAAGTCGTAGGCCTACGTACTTCGCGCGCGCGAACCAGTACAGCAGTACGCGCATGTGGAGTTTCCTCTCCACGCGGGCTCTCAAAAGTGGAAAAAAGCGCCCAATTCTTGGCGCACGGAGCCCATACAGGCGAAGAACGTTTGTTGCTCATAACTACTTATTTGTTCACAATAAAACGGTATAATGCAAGTTTCTGCAGAGACTATCATACTATTGAGTCCTCTTTTTAGAGGGGGGGGGGGGGGGGGCCTGTGATAGTATATTAACTTGACTGCACCATTTCGTTCAATGTAAACTGGCCTTCTTATCGGACCATGGAAAGTAGATCATGGTAATTACATTGTTATTTCCTGCGTGCGGATTTCCCTGTACCAAGCCGTGTTCATGACGTTTCCAGTTACAGGATAGTACAGCCTGGCACCCACTGATAAGAAAGAGGGTCATGGAACAGTTTAATAACCCGAGGGTTCTTACCACTTGTCACCTTTCATCTGCTTTATACCACTTTGGCTTAGTAATATTTTAAGTAATCGTACAGTTTGAGAAATAACACACTCGGGAATAATTATATCTCAAGTACGATTTGAGGCTTTGCATGGTGGAGACACTAATGGATGAAAGGTTTGCGGAAACAAACATGATTATATGCATATTAATGTGCACCTAATATTAAACTCACAAGACTTAAAGGTAC